AAAATAAGAACAAATGGGGTGCAAAATCAGTAGAAGGAAGGACATAATGAAGATTAGAGCAGAAATAAATAAAATTGAGAACAATAAAACAATACAAAGAATCAATGACAGCAGGAGCTGGTTCTTCAAGAAAATAAACAAAATAGATAAACCCCTAGCTAGACTTATCAAGAAAAAAAGAGAGTCTATACTCATAAACAGAATTAGAAATGAGAAAGGAAATATCACTATGGACACCACAGAAACACAAAGAATTATGAGAGACTACTATGAAAAATTATATGCTAACAAACTGGATAACCTAGAAGAAATGGACAACTTTCTAGAAAAATACAACCTTCCAAGGCTGACCAAGGAAGAAAGAGAAAATCTAAAGAGACCAATTATCAGCAAGGAAATGGAATTGGTAATCAAAAAATTACCTAAGAACAAAACTCCTGGACCAGATGGTTTCACCACTGAATTTTATCAAACATTCAGTGAAGACCTAATACCCATCCTCCTTAAAGTTTTCCAAAAAGTAGAAGAGAAGCGAATACTCCCAAACTCATTCTACGAGGCCAGCATCACTTCAATACCAAAACCAGGCAAAGACACCACAAAAAAAGAAAATTACAGACCAATACCCCTGATGAACATAGATGCAAAAATACTCAACAAAATATTAGCAAACCAAGTTCAAAAATACATCAGTAAGATCATCCATCATGATCAAGTAGGATTTATTCCAGGGATGCAAGGATGGTACAATATTTGAAAATCCATCAACATCATCCACCATATCAACAAAAAGAAGGACAAAAACCACATGATCATCTCCATAGACGCTGAAAAAGCATTCAACAAAATTCAATATCCATTCATGATAAAAACTCTCAACAAAATGGGCATAGAAGGCAAGTACCTCAACATGATAAAGGCCATATATGACAAACCCACAACCAACATCATACCTAACAGCGAGAAGCTGAAAGCTTTTTCCTTTAAGATCAGGAACAAGACAAGGATGCCCACTCTCCCCACTTTTATTCAACATAGTTCTGGAGATCCTAGCCATGGCAATCAGACAACACAAAGAAATAAAAGGCATCCAGATTGGCAAAGAAGTTAAACTGTCCCTGTTTGCAGATGACATAATATTGTACATAGAAAATCCTAAAGAATCCACTCCAAAACTACTAGATCTAATATCTGAATTCAGCAAAATTGCAGGATACAAAATTAATACACAGAAATCTGTTGCATTCCTATACACTAATAATGAACTAGCAGAAAGAGAAATCAGGAAAACAATTCCATTCACAATTGCATCAAAAAGAATAAAATACCTAGGAATAAACCAAATACTCTGAAAACTACAAGACACTCATGAGAGAAATTAAAGAAGATACCAATAAATGGAAACACATCCAGTGCTCATGGATAGGAAGAATTAATATGGTCAAAATGGCCATCCTGCCTAAAGCAATCTACAGATTCAGTGCAATCCCTATTAAAGTACCAACAGCTTTCTTCCATGAACTAGAGCAAATAGTTCTAAAATTCATATGGAACCACAAAAGGCCCCAAATAGCCAAAGCAATCCTGAGAAGGAAGAATAAAGCAGGGGGGGATTATGCTCCCTGACTTCAAGCTCTACTACAAAGCCACAGTAATCAAGACAATTTGGTACTCGCACAACAGACCCATAGATCAATGGAACAGACTACAGAGCCCAGATATAAACCCAAGCATATAGGTCAATTAATATATGATAAAGGAGCCATGGATATGCAATGGGGAAATGACAGCCTCTTCAACAACTGGTGTTGGCAAAACTGGACAGCTACATGCAAGAGAATGAAACTTGATTATTGTCTAACCCCATACACAAAAGTAAACTCAAAATGGATCAAAGACCTGAATGTAAGTCATGAAATGATAAAACTCTGAGAAGAAAACATAGGCAAAAATCTCTTGACTATAAACATGAGCAACTTTTTCCTGAACACATCTCCTTGAGCAATGGAAACAAAACAAAAAATGAACAAATGTGACTACATCAAGCTAAAAAGCTTCTGTACAGCAAAGAACACCATCAGGAGAACAAAAAGGCATCCCACAGTATGGTAGAATATATTTGTAAATGACATATCCAGCAAGGGGTTAGCATCCAAAATATATAAAGAACTCACATGTCTCAACACCCGAAGAGCTATTAACCCTATTAAAAAATGGGTGGAGGATCTGAACAGACACTTCTCCAAAGAAGAAATTCACATGGGCAACAGGCACATGAAAAGATGTCCCACATCGCTAATTATCAAGGAATTGCAAATTAAAACCACAATGAGGTATCACCTCACACCAGTTAGGATGGCCAGCATGAAAAGACTAGGAACAACAAATGCTGTCGAGGATGTGGAGAAAGGGGAACCCTCCTACACTGCTGGTGGGAATGTAAACTAGTTCAACCATTGTGGAAAGCAGTATGGAGGTTCCTCAAAAAACTAAAAATAGAAATACCATTTGACCCAGGAATTCCACTCCTAGGAATTTACCCTAAGAATGCAGCACTCCAGTTTGAAAAAGACAGATGCACCCCTATGTTTATCGCTGCACTATTTACAAGAGCCAAGAAATGGAAGCAACCTAAGTGTCCATCAGTAGATGAATGGATAAAGAAGATGTGGTACATATACACAATGGAATACTATTGAGCCATAAGAAGAAAACAAATCCTACCATTTGCAAAAACATGGATGGAGCTAGAGGGTATTATGCTCAGTGAAATAAGCCAGGTGGAGAAAAACAAGCACCAAATGATTTCCCTCATTTGTGGAGTATAACAACGAAGCAAAACTGAAGGAACAAAATAACAGCAGAGTCACAGACTCCAAGAAGGGACTAGTAGTTACCAAAGGGGAGGAGTGAGGGAGGCGGGTGGGGAGGGAGGTAGAAGGGGATTGTGGGGTATCATGATTGGTACACGTGGTGTGTGGGGGGTCACAGGGAAGACAGTGTAGCTCAGAAAAGACAAATGGGGACTCTGTGGCATCTTACTACACTGATGGACAGTGACTTCAATGGGGTGCATGGGGTGGGACTTGATAATAAGGGTGAATGTAGTAACCACATTGTTTTTCTTGTGAAACCTTCCTAAGAGTGTATATCAATGATACCTAAATTTAAAAAAAACTTGAAAAAAATGGATACACTGCAAGGGGTTAATCTACTGAATTTGTTATGAGCTAATGACTGAAGCACATGTTTTTAAAAAGAATAATATGTTTTTTAAAAGAATCAATACATTAATGGTGCATTTACACCAAATGAAGCCTAAGTAATGACCTGGCATAAATGAAAGTTTTATAGTAGTTGAAATCGAGAACAATGGTGATAAAATTAAGTAACCAATGGTCCTTTGATAATATAAATAGTTTAAGTGAATACTGTCAGTAGTAGTAAATGTATACTCATTTTTACCAGTGGCTCTAATACACAGACTATGCCTCCACATATTAACTGTAGTTATCAGCAACAAGTAGGTAGTATATAGTCAGTGAAGATTTTTAATGTTTTTTTTTCAGTGCTGTATTTTGGGGTGTATTACAAAATTCATCAATCTGTTAAAATAATGTGTCAGTTGTCAAAAAGGATCTTATTGTTCAAGGAGAAAACTAATGAAAGTCGTAATTACAGTGACTTATATGATGGTTCACCAAGATCAACATCAAATCAGGCCAACAGTAAGTAAAAATGAAGATAATTTTACTTGATCTGTAGGCTTGAAAAGCCGACACATTGTCTATTTCCAACTGTTAAACACTGTGGAAAGGATAAAACTGTAGAGAGAGTAAAAGATCAGAAGTTGTCAGTTCTTTGCGGGGAGGGGAGGTTTATGAACAGAGAAAATGGCAGGTCAGAGTGGACAGTCCATTTCCCTGGACATAAGCGCTTTCCTTTGGCTGTTGCCATTAAGGCACAAATCAGTCAGTGCTGTCATCCAGTTGCCTGGAGTGGGGGTCAGTAGCATTGTCACACAACAGGAAAAGGTTTCTTTTATATGAGAAAGATATAAATCTCCCTCTTGTTTATGCCACCATTATTTTAGGTTTTCTACTGTATGTAGCCAAATCTAATACTCACCCAAGTATAGTTTTGTCATTGAATCACTATGTGACCTTGGACAAGATAGGTTCTGTCCCTGGGACATACCTCTAATGCATAGTGGCAGAGACAGGTGTGGAGGCAGCCTGTATGACTCTGAGATCTCTAAAACAAATGGCTTACCCTCAAGTCCTTGTCTACTTTTGGGAGATCAGGTTCTACACTGGCTGTATGACTTTTGAGCAGGTTGTCTCAGCTTTCTGGACTTGCCACACCTGTAAAGTAGGGGTAAAAGCCTACCTCATCGAGTCATTTAAAGAGGTAAAGCATGTGAAACATAAACTGATGCAAAGTTAAAATGCAAATCATGTAAAAGAAGCAGGAGTTCATGAAGTCCAGGAAGGAACATGAGGGGCCTGCCCAAATGACAGAAAGCCACTGACAAATTAATCAGAGAATGATCTGTCTCAAAGATGAAAGAATCCCTAAGGAAAATTAAGGAGGCCCAAGATTTTCACCCAAATGCTACAATTTGATCAGGCAAATTGCCGGTCGGTACTGGATTAATTTTGTTGGTTTTAGGAATCAGTGCATTGTTGCAATATAAGCCACATTTTGTGAAATGTAAAATAATACTCTTTCCCGTACGGTTTAATTATTTGATTTTCCAGGATGAGGGGCCAAGCATGCCTTTTGGAAGTGATTTCCTCTGAAGTAGGTCTCTGTTTTCAGTGACCCATTCCTGTTTTTACCCATCATCCCTGCTAAGCATGTGCAACTCCTCCTTTTACCTCTGTCTCCTCGTTGGAGGTGATCCTCACACGGGCAGGGGCCACCAGTCACTGATGAAGCTACAGTCCTGGGCACAGAGCGGGGATGGGTGCATGGATGGGCAGACAGAGGGGTCCATATAAAATGAGCCTTTATTTGGGGCAGGTTGAGGGTATTACAAGTAGAGGCCCTGGATGGCATGCACAGAGCTCCTCCAGCTGTCTCTCCAGCACTGAGCTTCCTTCACCTGTGACATGTTGTCATCCTGGATCTTCTTCAACTCCTCTTCAAATAATGCTAAATATTTCTGGGAACAAGGCAACAGGAGGAGGACACAAAAGGAGAGACTTCTGGACTCTGTGCCCTAGAAGAACCCTGCAACCTGCTGGCAGGGAGCTTCCTACCCACTCCGGGCACTGGCAAGAGTTCCACAGTCATTTCCCATGTAAGCTGCCCGACAACTGATCGGGCAGGTCCAGGGGTTTTCCTCTTTTGGTGGATGGGGAAACTAAGGCTCAGAGCCTTGCCTGCAGTCACCCAGCTAGAAAGAGGCTGAGCAGGGAACGGGACCGCCATGTACCTGATTCTGGACTCTAGGCTCCTTCCTAACTGCCCACCAGTCCTGCAGCCCCCCTGGAGCACAGGCGTCCTGGCTTCCTTGGGAGGCTGAGCCCGGAGGGCCTTGAGCCCTCACTGAACTCAGCAGGCAGAGTTGTCCCTCCACCTGGGGTTTGACATGGTAGCTGTGGAACGGCTGACTCTGGGCGATGTGGGCTCTTCCCACGTGGGGGTCAGCTTATTTCTAGGCAGGATGAGGTCTGTCTCTCAGCACGAGGACCAAAGTTCCATGCATCTTCAGAGCTGAGAGGTCCTACAGGTAGCCTCCTCTTCAGGCAGGCCCCATGGGTCCCCAGGCAGGCACTGGGTTCAAATCCTGGCTCTGCCATTCTGTCATGGCATAGAGGGGGGCCTGTTTCTTTAGGCCTCAGTGTCCTCCTCAGTAACAACACGGGGACAGTTCTACCTTCCTCACAGGGTTGTTTCGAGGATTCAGTGAGAGGCCTCAGGTTGAGAGGAACAGCTGCAGCAGGTTCTCAGAAACTGCCAGCCATGCCGCCTCTGCTCTGAGAGCCCCATGACTCTTGGCTACTCTGCCCCTCACTCTGGCTCAGCTGTCCCTCTGGGAAGCATTCCTTCACTCCCTGTCTGGGTGGGCTGTCCCTTGGCTGGAGTTCTGCAACACTGGGCTCATGCCACTGGACCCAACTGCTGCTAGGACTGGACACGACCTGCGGCTTGGCCTGAGACACTGATTGTCCTGAGGGCAGCTGCTGTGCTCTGGGACACCTTGACGTGTGTCATTTGCTCTGTGGGCCAAATGTCAGGGTGCCTGTGTTGGAAAGCTTCCTCCCCGCAAAGGCAGTCAAACTGAGCTGCCCTGTGCTCCCTGGGGTGTGCCTACCCCACCCTGTCTCTCCACTCACCAGGTAGACAGCATCTCGGGCTTCCACAGCTGCCAGGTGGCCCAGGGTGGTCTTGGTGGTGGTAATTGAAGGTGTTTCCCGGAGAAGAATCTTGTTTTGGATGGTGACTTTGGTGGGTTTGATTCCTGGCCACTTCCTATAAACATGCATGTAAAAGGCCTACAGGCTTTTCATCATTCACAGTGCACCCTCCAACCCTGGTGGAAAACTCTAGTGTTCCTTTAAAAAAATTATCATGCTTTAAGTGTCTTAATTAAGAGAAAAACCCTACTGAGCATTTAACATTAAGCTTCTTTAAGTTCTTTTTCATATTTTCATACTGTTTTAATCCATGTGTACAGACAGTCTACCAGTGGCTCTAATACACAGACTATGCCTCCACATATTAACTGTAGTTATCAGCAACAAGTAGGTAGTATATAGTCAGTGAAGATTTTTAATGTTTTTTTTTCAGTGCTGTATTTTGGGGTGTATTACAAAATTCATCAATCTGTTAAAATAATGTGTCAGTTGTCAAAAAGGATCTTATTGTTCAAGGAGAAAACTAATGAAAGTCGTAATTACAGTGACTTATATGATGGTTCACCAAGATCAACATCAAATCAGGCCAACAGTAAGTAAAAATGAAGATAATTTTACTTGATCTGTAGGCTTGAAAAGCCGACACATTGTCTATTTCCAACTGTTAAACACTGTGGAAAGGATAAAACTGTAGAGAGAGTAAAAGATCAGAAGTTGTCAGTTCTTTGCGGGGAGGGGAGGTTTATGAACAGAGAAAATGGCAGGTCAGAGTGGACAGTCCATTTCCCTGGACATAAGCGCTTTCCTTTGGCTGTTGCCATTAAGGCACAAATCAGTCAGTGCTGTCATCCAGTTGCCTGGAGTGGGGGTCAGTAGCATTGTCACACAACAGGAAAAGGTTTCTTTTATATGAGAAAGATATAAATCTCCCTCTTGTTTATGCCACCATTATTTTAGGTTTTCTACTGTATGTAGCCAAATCTAATACTCACCCAAGTATAGTTTTGTCATTGAATCACTATGTGACCTTGGACAAGATAGGTTCTGTCCCTGGGACATACCTCTAATGCATAGTGGCAGAGACAGGTGTGGAGGCAGCCTGTATGACTCTGAGATCTCTAAAACAAATGGCTTACCCTCAAGTCCTTGTCTACTTTTGGGAGATCAGGTTCTACACTGGCTGTATGACTTTTGAGCAGGTTGTCTCAGCTTTCTGGACTTGCCACACCTGTAAAGTAGGGGTAAAAGCCTACCTCATCGAGTCATTTAAAGAGGTAAAGCATGTGAAACATAAACTGATGCAAAGTTAAAATGCAAATCATGTAAAAGAAGCAGGAGTTCATGAAGTCCAGGAAGGAACATGAGGGGCCTGCCCAAATGACAGAAAGCCACTGACAAATTAATCAGAGAATGATCTGTCTCAAAGATGAAAGAATCCCTAAGGAAAATTAAGGAGGCCCAAGATTTTCACCCAAATGCTACAATTTGATCAGGCAAATTGCCGGTCGGTACTGGATTAATTTTGTTGGTTTTAGGAATCAGTGCATTGTTGCAATATAAGCCACATTTTGTGAAATGTAAAATAATACTCTTTCCCGTACGGTTTAATTATTTGATTTTCCAGGATGAGGGGCCAAGCATGCCTTTTGGAAGTGATTTCCTCTGAAGTAGGTCTCTGTTTTCAGTGACCCATTCCTGTTTTTACCCATCATCCCTGCTAAGCATGTGCAACTCCTCCTTTTACCTCTGTCTCCTCGTTGGAGGTGATCCTCACACGGGCAGGGGCCACCAGTCACTGATGAAGCTACAGTCCTGGGCACAGAGCGGGGATGGGTGCATGGATGGGCAGACAGAGGGGTCCATATAAAATGAGCCTTTATTTGGGGCAGGTTGAGGGTATTACAAGTAGAGGCCCTGGATGGCATGCACAGAGCTCCTCCAGCTGTCTCTCCAGCACTGAGCTTCCTTCACCTGTGACATGTTGTCATCCTGGATCTTCTTCAACTCCTCTTCAAATAATGCTAAATATTTCTGGGAACAAGGCAACAGGAGGAGGACACAAAAGGAGAGACTTCTGGACTCTGTGCCCTAGAAGAACCCTGCAACCTGCTGGCAGGGAGCTTCCTACCCACTCCGGGCACTGGCAAGAGTTCCACAGTCATTTCCCATGTAAGCTGCCCGACAACTGATCGGGCAGGTCCAGGGGTTTTCCTCTTTTGGTGGATGGGGAAACTAAGGCTCAGAGCCTTGCCTGCAGTCACCCAGCTAGAAAGAGGCTGAGCAGGGAACGGGACCGCCATGTACCTGATTCTGGACTCTAGGCTCCTTCCTAACTGCCCACCAGTCCTGCAGCCCCCCTGGAGCACAGGCGTCCTGGCTTCCTTGGGAGGCTGAGCCCGGAGGGCCTTGAGCCCTCACTGAACTCAGCAGGCAGAGTTGTCCCTCCACCTGGGGTTTGACATGGTAGCTGTGGAACGGCTGACTCTGGGCGATGTGGGCTCTTCCCACGTGGGGGTCAGCTTATTTCTAGGCAGGATGAGGTCTGTCTCTCAGCACGAGGACCAAAGTTCCATGCATCTTCAGAGCTGAGAGGTCCTACAGGTAGCCTCCTCTTCAGGCAGGCCCCATGGGTCCCCAGGCAGGCACTGGGTTCAAATCCTGGCTCTGCCATTCTGTCATGGCATAGAGGGGGGCCTGTTTCTTTAGGCCTCAGTGTCCTCCTCAGTAACAACACGGGGACAGTTCTACCTTCCTCACAGGGTTGTTTCGAGGATTCAGTGAGAGGCCTCAGGTTGAGAGGAACAGCTGCAGCAGGTTCTCAGGAACTGCCAGCCATGCCGCCTCTGCTCTGAGAGCCCCATGACTCTTGGCTACTCTGCCCCTCACTCTGGCTCAGCTGTCCCTCTGGGAAGCATTCCTTCACTCCCTGTCTGGGTGGGCTGTCCCTTGGCTGGAGTTCTGCAACACTGGGCTCATGCCACTGGACCCAACTGCTGCTAGGACTGGACACGACCTGCGGCTTGGCCTGAGACACTGATTGTCCTGAGGGCAGCTGCTGTGCTCTGGGACACCTTGACGTGTGTCATTTGCTCTGTGGGCCAAATGTCAGGGTGCCTGTGTTGGAAAGCTTCCTCCCCGCAAAGGCAGTCAAACTGAGCTGCCCTGTGCTCCCTGGGGTGTGCCTACCCCACCCTGTCTCTCCACTCACCAGGTAGACAGCATCTCGGGCTTCCACAGCTGCCAGGTGGCCCAGGGTGGTCTTGGTGGTGGTAATTGAAGGTGTTTCCCGGAGAAGAATCTTGTTTTGGATGGTGACTTTGGTGGGTTTGATTCCTGGCCACTTCCTATAAACATGCATGTAAAAGGCCTACAGGCTTTTCATCATTCACAGTGCACCCTCCAACCCTGGTGGAAAACTCTAGTGTTCCTTTAAAAAAATTATCATGCTTTAAGTGTCTTAATTAAGAGAAAAACCCTACTGAGCATTTAACATTAAGCTTCTTTAAGTTCTTTTTCATATTTTCATACTGTTTTAATCCATGTGTACAGACAGTCTCAGGTTCTGTGGGGAGCGGGGATGGTACACCTCCAGTTGCTTCCCTTTCCTGGGCCTCAGTTTCCTCATTGGTCAGCCAGCCAGGTGGCAGTCCCTGACTCCTGGTCCATTTTTCCCGCTGCACTGTAAAAGCCACTGCTAAGAACGTAGCTGGGCAAATCGCTGCCTTATATCTTCTCCCAGAGTCATATTCTTGGAGCACAGGAGACAGGACTTTGAGAGCTGTCGTCACACACGTAGTGGCTCACAGGCCACCAGAGACCCAGGAATGTGTCCCACGCTGGGACAGGCCTCCTGTTCTTTGCAAACCCCTTTGTGGGTCCTCACCACATGAACTAACAGCTACTAAGCTCTTAATATGTGCAATAGTCACTCTAAGTACAATCTCATTTAACTTTCTCTTCATAATACCATGTAACATAGGCTGCCATACCCATTTCACAGGCAAGAAAACTGAGGCTTAGAACATACTGCTTTCCCAAGGTTACCATGGGAATTCAGAGCCTGTGCCTCTAACCATGTCATTGCACTGCCCCCAGCAAATACAGCCCTTCACAGTATTCTTCAACGTTACTCTCGGCTCTCACCTGCTTCCCCGCTCAGTCAGGGGCTTCTCACTCTCTTCCTCCAGGGAAAGCCTGGCAAGTTTCCTCCGTATGAGAATTGATGTTTTGTGTTTGGGGGGCTCCATCCCTGGAAGGCAAAAGACAGGTTACTGACGATGGCCTCCCCTGTAGCCTGAGGTCAAGGGGACCTCCCCTGACCTTACACTGACAGAAGTGAAGGCTCACACCGGCCTTCCCACCTGGAATCTCCAGGGGGAGGCAGGCCCCTCCCGCAGAGGCTGAATGCACCTGACTACAGGTACAGAGAGCAGTGGCAGTGGCAGGGGGGCTACCGCTAGAGGATGTGAGGTGGGATATAGGCACTGTTTCCACTCCAAAGCCCCAAACTTGACATTCTGACCTTTTTACAGCTTCCATAAGCCCCCAAATATGCTTTGTAGAGACTTTTTTGGCTTATACTAGCTCAAAGGCATCCTGATCTAAGAACTCCCCATGGCAGGAACACATTCAAGGTTGTCCATCTAGTGTTCAGCTTGCTCTCCTGTCCTGGGAGGTGATTTCCTGACTGGGCACCGTGCATGGAGTGAGAGCCGGCAGGTAGGAGTGGCCTTGTCCTGCGCCCTGGTTTGCCACGAGTGTCAGAGCTAGGCTGCTTGGCCCAGAGGCCCAAGATATGGAACAGGAAAGGCCTCTTCAAGCCAGATGCAGGGGATTATCCCAGCTCAGCAGTTCCCTCTGAGGAACAGAGAATGCCCTGCCTACAGGCTCCTCTGCCTATCTTCCCCTGGGTGTCAACCCTAATGTCCCTGCAGGTCTGCTTTCCCAAACAAGGCTCATGCTTGACAAAGAGACCTCCTATATTGGAAAGCCACCAATATCTCAAAATGCATATATACCTTTTGACCCAAAAAGTCCACTTCTAGGAAATCTATTGCCTGAAAATAGAGATATATGGATGCAGATGTTCCCTTCAGCTCCATTACAGGAGTGAAAAACTGGAAATGGCACAATATTCAACAGCAGGGGACTGATTAATAAATTACTATGCTTAGCAAATTGTGATGCACAGCAACTGAAAATGCTCCAGAAAGTGACTGACCAATGTCTGCCCAAAGGTAAATAGGTTACACAAGAGCACACAGCCTAGAACTGCCCCCGCCCTGACACACACACCGGCCTGTGCGAAAAGGGAAAGGACGGAAGGATGGACAACAGACGTTACAGACAGTTATTTCTGGGTGGAAGAATTGTGTCCTTCACTTTCTTCATAATTCATATGGAATTGCTTATTCTGCTATAAAAATTGTGTTTGTAATAAACTTTTAAAAACAAAAATAATATATTTTAATTACTTAATAGGTTAAGGATAAATGGATAACATTTAATATATGATTTTAATCTTTATATAGTTATAGAACATGCACATTATAAAAAGTTTAAGCATTCCCTAATGCAGACAAAGAAAGGACTTTAGAAGTCTCTTCCAGGCCCAGGCACCACAGGTGCTCCCTGCCAGCAGTCTGGCACTTGTCTCTCAGGGTCTGTCTCTCTCACTCCCTATGTCTCTCTGTCTCTCACAGATTCATTTATATTCATGTGAATACATCTATTTAAATCATATGTGTTTTAAAAATGGTATCATAGCCCTGAAAACAACAAGACGCTCTTAAGAGAAATTAAAGAGGACTAACAAATGGAAACTCATCCCATGCTCTTGGCTAGGAAGAATTAATATTGTCAGAATGGCCATCTTGCCTAAAGCAATCTACAGATTCAATGCAATGCCTATCAAAATACCAACAGCATTCTTCAATGAACTGGAACAAATAGCTTCAAAATTCATATGGAACCACAAAAGACCCCAAATAGCCAAAGCAATCCTGAGAAGGAAGAATAAAGCAGGGGGGATCTCGCTTCCCAACTTCAAGCTCTACTACAAAGCCACAGTAATCAAGACAATTTGGTACTGGCACAAGAACAGACCCACAGACCAGTGGAACAGAATAGAGAGCTCAGATATTAACCCAAACATATATGGTCAATTAATATATAATAAAGGAGCTATGGACATACAATGGGGAAATGACAGCCTCTTCGACGCTGGTGTTGGCAAAACTGCCACAGCTACATGTAAGAGAATGAAACTAGATCATTGTCTAACCCCATACACAAAAATAAATTAGAAATGGATCAAAGACCTGAATGTAAGCCATGAAAACATAAAACTCTTAGAAAAAGTATAGGCAAAAATCTCTTGGACATAAACATGAGTGACTTCTTCATGAACATATCCCCCTGGACAAGGGAAACAAAAGCAAAAATGAACAAGTGGGACTATATCAAACTGAAAAGCTTCTGTACAGCAAAGGACACCACCAATAGAACAAAAAGGCATCCTACAGTATGGGAGAATATATTCATAAATGATAGATCTGATAAAGGGTTGACATCCAAAATATATAAAGAGCTCATGCACCTCAACCAACAAAAAGCAAATAATCCAATAAAAAATGGTCAGAGGAACTGAACAGACAGTTCTCCAAAGAAGAAATTCAGATGGCCAATAGGCACATGAAAAGATGCTCCACATCACTAGTCATCAGAGAAATGCAAATTAAAACCACAATGAGATATCACCTCACACCAGTAAGTGTCCCCACCATCCAAAAGATAAATAACAACAAATGTTGGTGAGGATGTTGAGAAAGGGGAACCCTCCTACACTGCTGGTGAGAATGTAAATTAGTTCAACCATTGTAAAAAGCAGTGTGGAG